TTGGATTCCTTTCTCAAGGACTTTGGCGCGGTGGATGTGTCAAGTTTCATACATCAATAAGATCTAGAGGCGAACGTTGCCTGGGGAATGATACATGCAGCAGTGTGAGAGCGTGTCGGGACAGATTCGCTTGCGCATGAGCCGCGACATCGGGATTGGAAGGTTTATATGAATGGTATTGATCTTGAGTGAGTTATGGAAGCTACATTACACCTTAGCGAAAGCCGAGGTTCGGGTGGCTTGTAAGAATGCCATTGGTATCCCCGGGGTCCGAATCAGCTCCACTAATCTCGAATTTCGGGTGGTGCAGTGAATCCTGTGAGAATACCACGGCTCCAGCAATGTGGAAAGGTATTCTCGGGGTCCAAGTCCCTTCCGGAGAAGCTGACCGCAAGGCTCCTCAAGTGATCATAACGTGGTTCAGAAAATATTGAATCGAATTTGTTGGTCAAGTCGCGAATGATATAATCAGGGAATAAACCAAAAGTTATCGCGATTTCCACCGGCGATGAGGTGGATACGCTGTTGAGGATACTCTCCACATCATCCGGTGATAAATTATGGAGCTCTAGGCGACCGAGGCCACCATTGGAAGAAATATTTATAAACGAAGCTGGGAAGTAGTAGCCTATAGAAATCACATCAGGATCTAGCGGAGAAATGGAGTACTTAAGTCACGACTCACGTTTGAATTCCCGCGACAATTCTAACGTCAAGTGGGTCAATTTGTTCCCCTGGGAAGCCAAAAATTGGGAGATTCTTCCAGAATTTTGAAAGTCGGGATCGTAGTTGAGAATAATATCAGAGATCGAATGATCAGGGGTGATGTCTGAGATCCAATCCAAAATTGGCTGGAACCGTCTCCAAAGTATCACCTTTCGCAGTGTCGACGGTGGGCGATGCTGGGGATCACCGTACGACTCGTGAATTTGCACAGAGAGATCTCCAACCTCCAACAAGGGAAGTGAACAGATCAGCTCAACCAGGTCTGTAATCGTTCTGAACTCGCAATGGAGGCAGAGGTTTACCACAGTGCGATAGGACGACATGAAGCCACGCGCTTGCGCAGAGAGAGGATTTTTCCTTAGCACGTATCCATCCCGTCCTTCGAATTTAAGTGAAAAGGTACGGAAAGGTACGACCCTCAGCTTGGAGAGCAGTTGGATGAGGGATCTCTGCTCTCCGTCTGTGCTACATTGTGCTCCCGCTGCGATGAGGGATAGTGACTTGACCAAGGGCGTGATGGTCGCGTGCGGAGAGTGGAAGAGGTCACCGAACCGTCCTATATCGCAACCAACAGAGATGGTGATGTTCGAGAAAAGGTGGCGGCGTGTTGAGAGGACCCATTTCTTACTGACGAGGCTGCTCGAGATGAGGGTGGCGGCATCCTGCTGACAGTCATCAAGAAAGAGATCAACAATTTCCGCAGGAAATTCGGAATGGTTGCTATAGGGGGCGATTTTAGACGGCCTGGCCATAAGCATACTCCAGATTTCGATTTTTGGAAGAGATTTTCTATCGTCGGCAGAGCTTCAACTGGATGTTCAATGTTTTCCTCGAAGACCTAGTGAGGAGGCGGGGATCGAAGCTCCGAGCTGACGAGCAAAGTGTTCTAGAGACTTTGGACGAGTATGGCCGCGACGTAGACCAACGTTTCGTCTGTTAAAGAGACTCAGGCGGCGGGGTGGTCTTTTACCACCAAGCAGAACATTACGTAACTGTCCCAGAATCACGGGATCACGCGTGTGCGCCCTCAGAGTCGCGGAATCCGCAATGGAACTCGACGTGTTTGGTTCACTCTCGAGACTCTTTTGATTTCTAACCCCTCAATGGTAGAGTACTAGATTGTCTACCATTGGTTGTAGGTTGTTAGAGTGATAGGGAACTGAAAATTATCCGGGTCCGGATCAGTTCCACTGATGTCCCGGGTCTCAAACTTTAGGCAGTGCAGTGAATTTTGTCAGAATACCACGACTCCGGCAATGTGGAAACGTTTTCTCAGGGTCCAAGTTCAATCCGGAGGCGCTGACCGCAAGGCTTTTTAAGCGATCATGACGTGGCTCGGAGAATATTGAATCCAATTTGTTGATCAAGTCGCCAATCATAAAACCAAGGAAAGAACCAAAAGTGATTGCGATTTCCACCGGCGATGAGGTGGATACGCTGTTGAGGATACCCTCCACATCATCAGGTGATAAATAATGGAGCTCTAGCCGACTGAGGCCACCATTGGAAGAAATGTTTATAGACGAAGCTCGGGCGTAGGCTGTAGATATCACATCAGGATCTAGCGGAGTAATCGAATAAGGCACGACTCACGTTTGGATTTCCACGACGATGTCAACGTCAAGTTGGTCAATTTGTTCCCCTGGGACGGCAAAAATTGGGAGATCCTCTTGGGATCTTGAGAGTGGGGATCGTAATTGAGAACAATATCAGAGATCGAATGATCAGGGGTGATGTCTGAAATCCAATCCAGAATTGGCTGGAACCGCTTCCAAAGTATCACCTTTCGCAGTGTCGACGGTGGGCGATGTTGGGGATCACCGTGCGACTCATGAATTTGCACAGAGAGATCTGCGACCTCCAACAAGGGAAGTGAACAGATCAGCTCAACCAGGTCTGTAATCGTGCTGAACTCGCAATGGAGGCGGAGGTTCACCACAGTGCGATAGGACGACACAAAGCCACGCGCTTGCGCAGAGAGAGGATCTTTCCTTAGCACGTATCCACCCTGTTCTTTGAATTTAAGTGAAAAGGTACGGAACGGTACGACCCTCAGCTTGGAGAGCAGTTGGATGAGGAATTCCGACTGCTCTCCGTTTGTGCTGCATTGTGCTCCCTCTGCGATGAGGGATAGTGACTTGACGAAGGGCGTGATGGTCGCGTGCGGAGAGTGGAAGAGGTCACCGAACCGTCCGATACCGCGACCAACAGAGATGGTGATGTTCGAGAATAGGTGGCGGCG